TCGTCGCCAACAGGGTCCATCAGGTCAGGATGATGTGGATACGCATCAATAGCATTGATTGGCCTTAATGCAGTATCATTAGTTAAATTGACAGAAGTCAGAATTCCCAGAGAAACAGTATAATATACTGGATGACAAAGTCTCGAACACAGTGTAGTATTACAGGATTTTCATCATGAGCTGACATTAGTTAGAGAACCATTGGAAAACCTGCCAGGGAGTACTGGACAGCTGTTTCGCCTTAGTTTGGGACTCTTCATCAGTACGTACCCACCTCCACGGTCGGAACCCAGGACATTCTGGTGTACAAGGCGAACTCGTATACCATTTAGCCACTGGAACCCGATCCAATGGCCAGCCCATGAATTCTAACTTCTGCCAATTCACGATATAGCGCGACCCCTAGCCAATGTCTTCGGCGAGTATTTGTCCTCACACCCGACCTGCTGCACTCTACTGGTCATAATCATATCAGTTGTAATCACGCAACTTCGAAACTTGAGTTTTATAGTTCTTTTTATTCTTTCCTATTAGCCGTCGCAGTACTAGAATTTTCCAGATGTCTGGATGGACAGGTGTTGGATCATTACTATTACACATTGATTCGCAGTCAATTCGATGAATAAAGCTTCCGCTATCAATCTCTCCCTCCACCTTGCTGTTACATTAGATTTTAACACTGTCATCTTATCCCTCCCGCCCTATTGTATGGTTGTGTGTAATCGCATGTAGTGAATGGTGTATCTGATCTACTCTCCAGATTTCTTGTCTCATTTCGGACAACTAATCTAGATTTTGCTACTTGGTTGTTGTACTCCACTAGTCTGACTGACTGACAACATTCTACTACTTTCACCTCTGTATTTGACCTGACAATCATTTCAGCAGTGTTCGATAAACTAAATTGTTTTGTTTTATTGGTTCTACAGGAGTGATCCGCTAAAGGACAAAGCCTGTTTCTAATTGAGTTTGTGCGCGATTGTAATTCCAACCACTTTTGTTCCTGCCTTCATTTTTAAGAATTCTCCATAAAGTGGTATCCGAGGTTTCTTCCTTGTATGGAAGTAGTACTGATGATGATTTATATTCCCTATTGTTGGTGTTGTCATTATCCTGCGCATGTTTGACATGCATGTCGTCATTAATATTACTATTATTATTATTATTATCACTAGCACTACTATTATTATTTACTTTATTTTCACATTTTCCTACAAAATTCCTGATTCATTTATCAGAGTAATTACTAAGTTTCAAAGCTTCTCTTATATGACTCACTTCCTCTCTTAGATTTTCTTTGGTACTACTTAGTTTTGTGTCCTATTACTTGAACATTTCACCAATCCCATTTTTATTGACGTAGGATGGGATGAACGGAAATCGGAAATCCAAATATCTGTTTGAATGTGTGGGTTTCTTCTAAACACTAGTGTTTAACTTCCCGTCTTCTTTCCACTTTACACTACAATCTAACATTGGATGCCCTCTGTACTGACTTTTCAATTCATAAGTGAACTGAATTGCCTCCACCCTTGAGCTGATGTGTTCGAAAAATCTATTTATGTGCTGTGTTCTTAGTATGGCGAACGTTTTAATAGCTAAGTTTTCCCACCTATCATTGAATATATCTGCCACAACCGGGGATATTGTTGGCTCCATGGCAACTCCCTCAAATTGTTTGTATATTTTCCCCTGGAATTTAAATACTGTGGAAGTCTGGCATAGCTGCACTCCCAGCATTATGTCCTCAAGTGGTACTTTCGTCGTAAGTTCGACTTGTCGGTGAGAAATGAGTTCGTTTCTGACTGCCTATATAGCCATATTTATTGACATACGTGTATATAAACTGACACTGTCAAAACTAACCAATTTTTCTTCACTATTTAGTTTTAAATTATCTAATCTATGTTTTGCTACTGCTGCTGGATTCAACATAGAACATGGCACCGAAGTGCAGCAGTTCGAGTTGCCACGTTCCAAAATAGCACACAAAGGTAGACAGGAAAATGAGAGAAGAGAATCAATAGAATTTAGATAAGTATAAGAGTGAAACAGAATGAGTAATGGTAGAAAGGAATATGAAGGTTAAACAGACTGAATAAATCTGCGCCATTGACAACGATTTTCAGCCATGTCACCTGTTGTCTCTAGCCATTGATTCTTAGAGTCCGGAGGGCCCCATCCCGGAAGTCTGCATCTCCCTACCTGACTCAGTTCAACTGTCAAGGATTTCATGGATTGATGCCATGTTTTTGTTTGGCCACCACTTACTCTTTTCCAACCTGCACCTATATCAGCTAGTAATGCCCGTCAGTCGGGGGAGACGATGGTTAGGCATGCGCAGTACGTGACCTAGCCATCTCAATCTATGTAACTTCATAGCCTCTTCGATTGATTTTCCCTCTTTGTCCAACGCTCTACGCCTAACGTCAACATTACTTACCTTATTATACCACCTAACGCGAGAAAGAGATCGTAAACATCTGTGGTCAAAAACAGACAATCTCTTCATGTCTTCCGCTCTCAGTGGCCACGTCTCACCGCCATAGAGAAGGACGGAGCGAACTGCTGAGCAGTATACACGTCCCTTGGTTGACAGCCGGATGTCACGCCTACGCCAGAGACGGTGTAAGTTAGCGAAAGCAGCCCGAGCTTTTTGGATCCCTGCTGTGATTTCGTCACCAATCAATCCGTTGGTGCTGATACAACTTCCCAAATAGGTGAAGTGGTCAACATGTTCTATCACTTCACTCCCTATCACTAAGCTAGGAGTTGACGTAGTCCAATCCTGTAACAGTGTCTTACATTTTACAGGGGCGAGTCGCATTCCAAACATACGAAGATTACTGCTCAAGGTGTTCAGAAGACTCTGCATTTCGTCAGCGTCCTCCCCTAACAGGACTATGTCGTCTGCGTATTCTAAGTCTATAAGACTATTCCCTGGTAACAAGTCGATTCCTGAGTCGTTAAGTTCAGTTAAGGATACTTCCATTAGCATATCTATGATGAAGTTAAACAGAAAAGGGGAAAGTGGACATCCCTGACGGACACCACTGGTTGTTATCAATTCAGATGACAATTCCCCATAAGCCCTTACACAGCTACGTGAGTTTGAGTAGAGTGCCTTGATTAGTGCAATGTACTTTTTTGGCACTCCCTTCATAGTCAAACATTGCCATAGTACCTCTCGATCCACGGAGTTGAAGGCCGCCTTCAAGTCAAAAAATATGGCAATTGTTGGACGCCTAAAAGTGTGTCTATGTTCTAGGATCTGTCGGAGAGTGAAGATATGATCTATGCACCCTCTACCTGGCCTAAAGCCCGCTTGATTTTCCCTCGTTTGTTCCTCCCGAGTTCGGCTTAGTCTGTTCATGATTACTGAGCCTAGGATTTTAGAGACTATGTTCGTTAGGCTGATTCCTCTATGATTGTCACATGAGTACCTGTCTCCCTTCTTGAATACTGGTATAATAAGTGACTTACCCCAGTCTGATGGAACCGTCTCTGATTCCTAGACGTTACCTAGTACCTTAGTTAAACTATATACTAGTGTGTCACCCCCATATTTAAACACCTCCGGAATAATTCCGTCGGGTCCTGCCGCTTTGCCTCGTTTCGAATTACAGATAGCTTTGGTGACCTCACTTACAGACCGCGGGCCAGTGTCTATGTCCCATTCGGGTGTGTGCTGGATGGCTGGGAGGCTCAGTGTGGCTGTAGGCAAGTTAAACTGTTTCTCGAAGTGTTCTTTCCAGCGTTCGAGGCGTCTATCCTGAGAGCTAATTAAGGAGCCATTTTTCTCACAAATAGTCTCACTTATGATTTGCCTTCTCCCACCCGTTTCCCTGATGAGTCTAAAGAGTTGCCTTGTGTTGCCTATCGCCGATGCTTTTTCCATCTCTTTCGCCTTTGTCAACCACCACTGTTCACGGTCCTTGCGGAGACTTTTCGTAAGTTTCCTTTTGTGCAGCTTTCGCTCCTCATTGAATTCGGAGCTCGCCGGAATAAGTCTTCTAGCATCTATCAGTTCGGATGAGGCAGTGGAAATCCAATGGTTTCTACTCACCTTTGGATTTACCTTATTCACAGCTTTTACAGCTGTATCTATGGCTGATTGAATATTCTTCCAGGCTTCTTCAGGGTGAGCGCTATGTTTTAGTTCATAAGAATTTGTTAGTCTATATTTTGAGTGGCTTCTAAGCAAATTTAATACCATGGTTAAATATTTAGATAATTCGTAAGTAGGTGGATTTCTAAAACTCAACCGTCGGTCTAATAGGGTATCCTGACGTATGAAATTTAACAACACCATCATAGATCCTACTGGGGTTATTAGTTTTGGGCATTAAATTAAACCATTTAGACTAACCTAGAAATAACTTCATTCAGCGTATAAGTTTCACTGTGGATATTTTAATCTTATTCATAGCAGTATCTATTGATTTCTTAATTTCCTCATATGGTCCTGTTTTTGTGTGAATATTCACCTTCTCCAAATTGTTTGATTTATCTAATATGAACAATAAATTGTGTTTGGAACTTTGTCATCCAGCAAGCAATAATACTGTTTCCCTGGGTGTGATATATTCAATAAACAAATTAATATGGAATTATACACCACCGCAGTGCCCAAGTTTTACACATATATTAGAATTCACGGGTCAGGGAATTTTCACCCAAGCAGCTAAACTGCCAACGAATTGGCCTTATGACGCGAAAGCCACAGGTTCGATCTTTTGCAAAGTCATGACTGCGCACTGCTAAATAGTTGCAAACTAGAACGAAACAGCTATTCGGTACTCCCAGTTAGTTGTCAACGATTCTCTAACTCATGTTGCATCATGACGACATCTACATTCAAAAATTACTTATCACATCTCTCAAACTCCTGAATACTTTACGGATAAAATGGTGACATACAGTTGACCAAATCTGTTAGCATAAATAACAACCAAAAAGGGGAGTAAAATCAATTATACATTTTAATATGTTAAATATAATTCATCATTTAAACAAAATCAGTAAAATCAGTCGTTCAATGTTACAATAGTTTAAATAAATATGATGCATGTTTATTGTATTGTTTAACTTGTCATTTATTCATTTATTTATTTATTTAATTTTCGCGTTTTATGCATCTGAACCAATCACAGTTTCCAGAACAGCATTCATTGTCATGCCAACACCATGCAGCGTCTGCTAAACATTCTACACACCTTCCATAGAATGGACCATCCAATTTGCATACTGTATTATTACAACACGGTGAAAATATAGTTTTTGTACATCTCTGGTTAAGTGGAACACAATCACCTGAAGATATATTATGGAAGTAAAAGAACAAATCATGAAATGTAATTTATTATTATTATTATAATTATCAAGTATTTGTTTGTAAGGATTTTGTTTGATTGATTGAAGGATTTCATCATGAGCTGACATCGGTTAGAGGACCATTCGAAGATCAAAACTGGAGTACTGGACAGCTAGCTACTTCGTCAGATTAGTTTGGGACTCTTCACCAGTACACACGCACCCCAGTGGAGTTCCCACCCGAGGAACTCCAGGTTACAAGGCAAGCTCGTACTTGATAACCGATCTGATGCTCACTAGCGACTGGCACTATTCAGGCAGTTAACCTGGGGTTCTAGTGGGAGACCGTAACCAATAGGGTACCGCAAGTCGAAGGTGAGGACAGTTACTCATCGAAGAAGACATTGCGAAGTGGTCGCGCTATGTCATGAACTGGTAGAAGGTGGAATTCTTGGCTTGGCCATTACATCGGGTCCCAGTGGCTTAATGGTATAAGAGCTCGCTAGCCTTGTAACTGGAAGGTTCTGTGTTGGAACTCCACTTGGAATGCTGCGTACTGCTGAAGTGTCCAAAACTGGGAGGAAACAGCTGTCCAGTATCCCCCAGTGGTTTTCCAATGGTTTTCTAACTAATGTCAACTCATTATCAATCCTGTAACCAAAAATGAATTGTGTTCAAAGGTCTTTTGCATAAATTTTCATCGTAGATAAATACTTTTTTTATTTATTGAAAATGTCTACTATAAATTTCAAAATACTGATTAGTGTTCGAAGAATATTCTTCAAATTCAACAGTAATTATGTATCCATAATAGCTGAACAGTAGTTTTTATTGACCACATTGATTTGAAATGTGGCTAGAAGGATCATTGAAAACCAGAGAGTACCGGACAGCTGTTTCGTCCTCGTTTGGACCTCTTCATCAGTCCACACTGACGAACCCCACCAGGATTTGAAACCTAGACCTTCAGGTTACAAGACCAAGTTCGTCGCCCATTCAACCACTTAGTCTGGAATTCAATGAACTATAAAATTCAAACTTTGTCGGTTGGCGACATAGCACTGCCCATACCAGTGCCTTGGATAAGAATCCACAACCCTCTGGCATTAATTTCAGTACATAAGGGATGCAGAATCGTTGATATCAAAATTTTCAAGCGTCTTTGCGGATCAACTATTACTAGATTACAGTTCGAAACATGCATGTGCATAGATAGATATAACACTAAATTTCAACACGAGCCTAGCGCCCAACCTTCCCTCTTTACCAGACTTACTACCGGTTAAATGAGGTTAAGCAGTGCGTTGACCTGGTGATCATACCCTAGAAAATGTGCATGGTTTGGCGGGTGATCTACTGCTGAGCCACCGACGCACACACAGTCATCTATTGGGCCACTTAGAATCTCTTCTCATACAATTTATTAATTCATGTGTTTTGCCCATCATCCTTTATTGTTCTCCATTATTCTTCCCTGGGCTACTCAAGAAAGACCATATAATACTACGAAGAACATTGAAGGCTGTAAGTAGGGCCAGTGCTATCCCTTTGACTCTACTAACTGACACTGTTGTCAATAGGCACATGAATTCTTGTAAACACTTAGCTAAAGTTATTTTGTCTGATAGTGAACATCCTCTTTATTCACAATTGTTTCCTTGTATCTCTTCGGGTAAGACCAGAAGAAATTTCATAAACATTTATGCTCGTACTAAGAAATATAAAAATTCGACCGTACCATATTTGGCACGAGTATTGTGTGAAGAGACGAATATCAGAAAAGAACTTTTACAACTTCTAAATCATTAACTAAACTATAAAATGTAATGATGCATATTTTTGCATGTGTGATTTGTTATATTATTTATTTATTATTCACTATGACCTAGAAATGGTGTATTTTGTTGGGGTTTTTATTTTTCCTATTAACTATCAATATTTTAACATTTTATACATTTATATAATTATAAAAAGAGCTAAACCAATGCAATATGTAAAATGAAACGCTGAAAATTCCATGCTGTAAATTGTTATTGTTGTGGAATAAAGTGATTATTATTGTTATTTCGGATCATTGATTTTTGAAATGTAATGTTCAAATTTAGTGTTATATTTATGAACATTTACATTATATACATGTATGTTTCAAACTGTGATACAGTAACAATCTATTCGCAAACACTTCTTAGAATTTTGGTATCAATACTTCGATGTCACTTGAACAAACACACCAATGTTGCCAATAATAAAAGTGCTTTAGTTATAATGGGTATATCATAACTGTAGAACCTGATGAAGAAGAAGATATCGAAACTGAATATTTTTGTCTAGGAAGGGATATTCTGAGAGGTCTGTCAACAGGTATTCTAAAGGAGTAAGAGTCAGTCAAACTGTCCAAACCATTTGAAACAAGACTATATAATAGATATATATAGAGAGAGAGCTTTTAGAAGAACTCATTACGCGGTTGCTTGATCATTCTGGAAAATTCTAGTCTGCAATCTTCTAGACTTTGAACTGAGTAAATCAGCTTGAGTGTGTTTGTAGAAGCGATTACATAGGTCGTACAGAGAGGCGGTTGTTTACCCGCAAGATGAAGGCGTCAAAGTGTCAAAAAGTTCAACAGGAAGGCATCTTGTAGACTACGGGCATGATACTCGACGCTGTCAAGTCATTCAATGTTGTCAGCAGATAATTGTAGAGGCTTGTACAATTCAAGTTTCCAAACGCGGCAGCTATGTACACAAGGAAACTCCGGTCATTTCGAATCGAACATGGAATTACCTTTTACTTATTAATTACTATTATTATTGCTATCAATATTTTATTCCATCTCTTATTATTATCATTACCCAGTTAGCTATTCCTGATGCTTTCAAGTTCTTTCTCTGATAACTAATCGTTTGTTTAAGTGGTGTAACTGAACCTTAATATATTGTAATCTTAATTTTAATCTCTTATAGCTAATCCCCATTATCTATCTGCCAATGATTTGTAATATATTCGCACCTATCTAGCCTCATAGTTAATTCATTGTAGTTTATTTGCTTATCAGTCTTATATCTGCCAAAGGATTTCCTATAGTATATATGAATTCCTGTATGTAGAGTATTCAGCTGAGGAGGAATTCTACCGAAATTTGAGGAAATCATTAAATCTTCACTTGTTGCTAGTTTTATTAAGACTAATTCTTACGATTACGAAAATTATTCATCGACGACAAAATCGTAGATTTCACTAATATCCTGGAACATTTTTATCACCGAGTCTAACTGAATTATCATAAAGTTATGTTTAAAAAACATTACCCGAGCATGTTTAGAAGTAACTCTACTGAAGAAGCCTTTCGCTAACACGACAAACTGCACAAGAAATAAAAAAAATGAAATCATTCCTAAATATCTACGTCTACGAGCTCCAGTTCCAACGGACAGATTAAGAAGCAGAATAGAAGGCCTACAAAAATTATGCCTGAAAGAAGAGATCCACAGAATCGTTAAAAAGTTGCAACATATCAGATCTGAAACTGAGCAATTAAAGCAAAAGCTAAAAGGAATAGTTACCAATGTAGATCATGATCTTATAACACAATCCTTCAGCGATGCAAAATCAGCAACTATCCAGTAAATTATACTGTTTCACTGTGTGATATATCTAATAAACAAACTAATATGGAATTACTTACTACCATAGTGCCCAAGTTTTACACATATACTCAAGAAATATAAACAAAAAGGTAATATTGTAAGTTTCTAAACATACTGAATGCGTCGGGGTTCAGTGGTGGACTCCTTGCCAACAACATAGTTGGTCAACAGGTCAGTTCGCGACAGGCAGGTACACTGTTAACCCTCGCTTAACAGGAAGAAGTCTTGGGAGGGAGGATAGCAACCTGACCTCGTAAAATAAAACAAAGCTGCCGCTACAAAGACTTCATAGTTCAGGCTTGCTAGCCTCACGCCAAATGCTCCGCCATTTCTGGGCTCACTACCAGTAGACTTGGTTTAGAAATGCGTCGCCTGGCCTGGGAGTCGAACCTTAGCCACGACCGTAGTTTGTGAGTATTCTACAACTGACCACACTGAGATTAACTCAAAAGAATTATATATAAATATACATATTATATGCAATTCAGTTTCAAGTCGATGCAATTCTTAAATTCAACCATAGATATATAACATTTTACTCACCATTAATTGATAAAGTTGCCTGTGTCAAAATGAGTAGTAGAGATATCAATAACACTTGTGAATGGAGCATATTGTCTTTTAATAAAAACAGTACGACAAAGTTAATTAACTAGACAATTTTCAAATATGAAATAAATACAGTGGTTTGATCCACTCACAATTATAATACTTCGTAATGTAAATATTCAACTTAATTGTATGTAGGCTGTGTATAACAACCTGTTTTTGTTACGAACGATTCAACCAATCACTGTTCAGTATTGAATGAATATGGCCGCACACTGAATGATTGTTGTTAAACACATAGGACTGGTCACTACTGATGACTATCACATATAATATGATGACTGTGGCTAGATTAGGTTAGAACTACTGTGTGTGTATGTGTGTGTGTGTGATAGGATAACATGTCACAATACTTCAAAAATTCAAAGGGAACTCATCGATTGGTTAGTGCAGGAGTAGCCAATGTCATAGTCTGTAGTGCTGATTAAATTTTATCTGTAGACTTTGTAGTTCATTAGATAATATCTCGAAAAATCTTGACTTTGAATTGTTAGTGAAGCCAATCATCTGAATTATTATATATTTTGTTAATTACTCCTTACCGTTCTAACAAGGGAACATGGGGATTCAGCCTTGAGTTCTGAATTTTTAGTAACCGTGATAACATCCTTCTTTTTCGCGGTGGAATCGATAAACTTACTTCTAACCTCATTTCGTCTTTAGCGGGCTTACCACCTACTAAATGAGGTTTGGTGAGTGCATCAACTGGGATTTGAACACCGGATCACGTGGGTGGTTGACGAG